AAAGGAACTTTGGATTTCGCAAAAGCAGTATCGTAAGCTTCCGCGAAAGCTCGCGATGATGTGCGCGAAAGGAACTTTGGATTTCCGCGAAGAGGTCATTTTGTTATGAAGGTAATATTGGGCAACGCCCATGTAGGTTCCTTAACAGAAGCCCAGTTTACTCCCAAAACCCGTCCGTGCGAGGTGGATGCGGCCTTCAAGAATGTGCAACAGACGGCTGGGGCAGACCAGCAAGGTTGCTTGACTACGTGACCTATAAAGGAATGTATAGGGGGTTTAGGTAGACCTCTAAGGAACATATTGCAACTTGAGGGAAGATGTAGGGGGTTTAGGGGGACTGTGTGTGTTGCAACTTTGTGCGGCTTATCTTGGAATGATATCAGGATTTGGATGTGGGATTCTGCGGGGAATGCCTACAAAACGCGTGGGAATCAGCGGTCTGCTCTGGACCATTAGAAGCCGGGTGCCTTCCCGCAGAATCCAGGGCTCCGTTTGGATTCAGGAGCTTAAGCCGAGCATGCCTTGTGGAGTTTGGTGATGGTTGAGAGTTTTTTAGCTAAGCCAAAAACCCAACTTATTGTCATGTAACATTATATAGTTCTCTATTCTGGACAACACTTGTGTTCCGTACTATAGGTACCTAGAGAGTCTTCGGTGTCTGACCTAAGGCAGGGATTCATCACCAGGCTTTCAGGATGTCATTTGCAGTTGAGAGAGCGCACCCGCTCCACAAAGCTTTGCCGGGCCGTGTAAAAAGCCCCAAGCTGAAACGAATGTTATTGAAGATCCCGGGTTTAGGCTTTAGGGTTTAGGGTTATTGAAGATCCCCAAAATCCTTCTCAGGCAATCTCCAAGGAATCGCTGTGGGGTCATTATATAGTAGTTTCCATTTCGTTTTCCATTGTCCCAATATACCCCCAATATACCCCTAGCATAAGCCCAATATACCCCCAATACAACCCCAATGTACTACAGTAGTTCCCGTAGGGTCATGAGGCCTAAACCTTAAACTCTAAACCCTCATAGTTTAATGAGGGGATCCACCAAAGCCCCTGTCTCACCCAGGCCGACTGCAGGCAGCGCAACATCTCGAGGCAAGCAGGGATTGCCGAGTTCTATGAATTGGCTGTATTCTACTATAGTATTTAGGGTTTAGGGTTCAGGGTCATGGTATATTCTATGGTATTTTATAGTACCATATGTTATAGCACATGGAGGCAAGCAGGGGTTCTATCGTGCCCAGGATTTTCGGAGGGTAATATGGGGAAAATGGAAAGGAAATTGGAAACTACTACATATTGGGATACTGGAAGATAAGATGGAAACTACTATTTAGGGTTTAGGGTTTAGGGTGGGGGGTTGGAGCTCAAGCATGCATGCTGTGGATTGGGAGGTTCGGCAAGCTGTTGGCAAGGCTGCGTTGATGAATTTAGGGTGTCCAGTTGTAGGGAGGAGGCACAGGTTGAGGATAGTCAAGGAAACGCTTGCATGTCTCATGATAACCGGTCGTAACATTCCTGGTCAAAAGCAATGAATCTCGCCATACCATAATATACTCCGAATATACCCCCAGTACGAGCCCAACATACCCCCAATACAACCCCAATATACTATAGTAGTATCCGTAGGGTCATGAGGGGATCCACCAACCTACGATAAGCTCGATAACTAGATCTCTATTTGAAGTTCGATGTGAATGTGAGTAAAGCTGCTACCATCTTGATGCCGAGGATGATACGCCTACTTTCCGTTGTGAGCTCATGACTACCATTGAAACTATTATTCTTGCTGTTGCTATTACCTCTGGTGTTTGCAAACTGTAACTACAAGCTTTACCATTTTTGCTTGAGTGCGGTCAGGCCATGATCTCAAAGAGCAACAGCGACATGGGGCAAGAGAGGCGCAACTGCTTACAAGGGCTCACTGCTTTCTGAAAATCAGAGGGCCCTTTTTGGACGGAGTTCCCATCAAAAGTACTATGATGTATAGGGGTCTACATTTGGGTCCCCCTGGCAGTATGTAGGTCATTTCCTGAGTGAAATTGGAAGGCTTGGGGCAGAGGGGGCCATGGGTACTTGTTATACCAACTCCAGAGCATACTTAGTATTGGAAGCTTTCTATTTTGAGTGTAGGGCTCAGCTAGAGCTGGGTGCTCAAACTTGAGTGCTCCAGCCCACGCCCAAGGGAACATAGAGGGCCCTTGCAACAGGAGAAATTAACTTCCTTTGGAGGTTTCATGTTGTTCTGGGGGCTTGCGAGCCTCTCAAGCTCAAGAGCCAAATGTGGCTGCATGTCTCTGCATCCTGATGACCCAGACCTCAGACCTAAACCCTCAACCCTACATTCTAAACCCTCTGTAGATAGCCCTGTTGCCTCTGCAGGTCTCTGCGTGAGGAGCAGTTTGCCATGACAGGTTGGCCCCGCAAAGGGGGACAAAGAGAGCTGATGGTCCATGAAGAACAGCAAGAACAACAACTTACTGGGGGTTAGTATGGAATAAGGGAATGTATCATACAGGGGCTGTATGATGTTTGTATCTGTATATATATATATACACAGATAGGCAGTATATTCCCTTCTTCCCTACTAGCCACCCGTACGACAATCTCTAGATTCGCCATAACTCCTATACGTTGACCATTACCGCCAACCAGGCCTGCCCACGAGAGTACGCAGCTTCAACAGGGCGTTGTGTAAACTCCTACCTGTAACCCCAATAACCTANNCTGTAGGTTATTGGAGCCACAGGTCCTGAATGGATCCCTATAAGTTCTAACTCGTAGCTTGAAACCCTCAGGAATTGGATTGCATGTTCGGCTTGGAATGTCACGTTGTCGGTTGGGGAGCTGACTGAACATACTGAACAAACTGTAGTCATAGTGTCAAAGTAGTTCTGATGCTAGCAACAGTAATGTTATTAATGTTCGTCATAGTCATGCGGAGTTACAAGTGTCAAGCCCCCGCCAGGATTTGGAATCGAGTGTTGAATGGATCTCGCTTGTCAGAGCTGGTTTGAAGTGCAAACCTGAAGAATTCGACTCGTCAAATCTTAATTTCAGTCCCTGATTGATGACTCAGGCAGTATTTGGTAATTTCTTTGGTTGGGCAACATGGCAAAAGATTCTACTTCTCACCCTCACTGCCGTCATCGCGGCCACCGATCGCGACCGCCACTACCACCACCACCACCA